CATCAATCTATGGGCATTTTAATGAGCTTATTTCCTTACTTTTTTATTCAAATTTCAAAACTATTTAAATTCCATATAATTGGGAGCGTAGTTTAATCTCCGGATCAAGTCTTACTATTTCTTAAAATACGCTGACCTAAATATTATAAAAAAGTTGTTTTTTGGAAGTATTTTCTATTTGTTGTTACTTAATTTTAGCTCTCTATTATGTTGGATGCACGCAGACGGGCTGCAAACCGAAGGGCTGCTGAGCGATGTCGACGTTTAAAATCGGAGACTCGAGATATTCTTCTTAGCCAGCTAACTTCTTTGCAGTTGGAGAGGCTCAATCTTGAATGGCGACTTACTCGCGCTAAAAGCATGCGTCAAGCAGCCAGGTATTTCCTTTATCCCTTGAATTATTTGAATAAAGTTTTTATAACAAATTATTTATGCTACAAAGAGTAATTGGGGTATGATGAATTTTCCTCGTTTCGTGTGAACTGGTGGGGGATGTCTCGCGGACTACGTCGTCATGAGCGTCATATTAAAGCCGAACGACTTCAGAACAGCGAACATCGGCCGTCGTCTTCAAGTGAGACCAACCTACGTATCTCTTCATCCTGCACTTTCCTACTAAGTGAAAATCTCCCTAATAAATTATTCACGTGCATAAGAAGACCAAGATGGTGTGGCCTTAGGTTTTGTCGCACTCTCATTTAGCTATATTATGTTGGTATGACCTCGTTTTTCCAACTTGTTCGTAGCATCAGGGAGGCCTTGTGAAATTTACCTAGTCTTGCACCCTCTACCTTTATATTAATGATAATTTACAGCATCGGATTGCTGAATTGGCACATCCCCAGACGTTTCGCCAGCGTCTTCATTTAGAGGCGCCATCCTTAGCACAGCGTGACATCTTATCAAAGTGTCAAGTGAGGGGAATCCCCTCGATAAATTTTCTGTTCAATCGTGGCATCTCTTCTCTCCTTTTGCTTTAGCTTCAAGCGTATGTGACAAGCTGTTATAGTATGACGCTGCACACTTTTAATAGTGTCTTACATTATTAGACTAAGTGTAGTGACAAGGAATCCGTAATTAATCTTACTTCTTTCTCAGCTGGATTGCCTCGTTAGCTAGGCCAGGCTGGTGCTCATAAATTTTTATCTTATCAAACTTATTATTATGTATACAAAATGTAATCGGGCTTCAATGAGGTCTTTGAGATTTCATGACTTTCGTTTGGTGTATAAGTACCTTACGAGGACACCAGTCGACGGGTGCTTATCGTTGCTCTATGGTCATTTTATTTTTTTACTGTGACGTTCAAGTTGCCGCATTCCGCAAGGCATTTCCATTTGGTCTGAACTTTCGTAGGTTATTTGAAAACCATCATCAGAGAAACGTATACAAACTTTAAGAGAACAATAATTTCATATGATTAACCCGCCATACCTTAGATGTCCTATATACAACTAAGAAAAGTTTTATTTATATATGTATAGGTATATATGAAAATATATTAACTTTTTTATGTTGTGCTTGAGTGCGCGCGTGCATGCATGTGTTATTCAATTCTCAAGTTCAATAGCTAAATCAATAATTAAAATAGCTTGACCCCAGTCTGATCATAAAGGTCTGTAAACCCAGGAAGTGCATGGTCGTGATTGCATATGTCTAATTGAGCTGAGGGGTCTAGTAGTTGTAGAACGATAGTGACTATGGTTAGAACCATCACTAAGCCGATTATTTGAGTCGCCTCCTTAATTCTATCAATTAAGAATAAGTGGTTAACCAATTTCCCAACTGCATTCTCTACATTCAACTTATTATCGAATTTATTCATTTCGATG